TAATGTCAGAAGCTTACTGCTTCTGCACGACCTGGCTATTTAAGCTGGTCGACTAGCTTGTCATGCGGTCAGGTGGGACTAATACGGGTGTGAAAATCTTAACTATGAGCAATTTTCGGTGTGTTTTGATAGCCCAGCTGACCCAAGATGGACGGGACGATCGTCATGCATGGCACTGCATGTAATAGGTGTTCTGAAAATAGGGCATGTGATTGCAAATGGTTAATTTTTTGGCCCGACTGATCACTATCTGTGGGCGCGCCCGGACGCGTCCGCAGATGTTTCAGGCGCCAGATTTGCAACCTTGCGGCTGTAGATGCTGTAAGAGGAATTTTCGTTAGTACATGGTTCCATTAATGCTAAGCATATAAAAAGTTACACGCAATTACACGCTGACTAAATTTTTTTCTTTCTACCTAACCACTTCCCCCTGATTTTCATGGGGGTGGGCCAGTCCTCCCCCTTAAGCTCCAATCACAACCTATCTGTTTGTGAAACTCATATAAACTCAAGACGCCGATATCCACCACACATGTGGCATAATAGGCATTCGCCCACACACTGTGTGTGGCATGAGCAGGGGGCAGTCCATACGGGCTGTGTGTGGGCAAATAATAGAATTGCCCACACGTGTGGGCGCAGCTACTTCGTGCCACATGCCCAACAAGTACTACTCATCCCCGTCTCGCGCGTGTGGCACGAAGCAAATATGCCCACACGTCCTGGCGCAGCTACATTAGGTACGCGCAGGGTGACGATTTAGTTGCCATCCGGGATGACAGATGTAGTTATCCGGGATGGCAAATATGGTTGTAAAAGCACATCAACTCTCTCTGTTTTGGTTAACTATAGTTGTCATGTCTAATTTATGGTAGTTGCCGCGTGTAATCAAATCATAGTTGTCGTGTGTGATTAACTATTTGCCACATGTGGTCAAACAATAGTTATCATGTGTGTTTACCTAGTTGCAACGTGTGGTTAATCACAGTTGCCACGTATGTTTATCTGATTGCCACGTACGCGCAACTGCAATTGCTGTCTAGCAAACGATTCATAGTTGTCATATGTGTTTGCCTAGTTGCCATGTATGCGCAACTGCAGTTGCCATCCAACAACATACGACTGTTGTGTGGGCGAAAAGCAATTCGCGCACACGCGCATGGACTAGGTGGTGGCTGTGTGGGCAGAAACTAGTTCGCCCACACAGTGCAACTAGCAACCGCGTGCTATGGGGCGTGTGGGCGACCTCTCTAACGCCCACACACCGGCCTTGTCCTACGTGACACGCGAAAACTATCTCGATGTGTCAAGATTCGTACAAACTTAACTGGACGACGATTCAGACGTGTGGATGAGTTGCAATGTTGCCACACGTGTGGGTGTTAGTGTTTTCGTAAACTTATATATGTAGCATTACTCTGCTGGTTCTCTAGTCTTGTGCACTTTTTGGCGAGAGCGGGTTATGGGGCCTTCGGTGTCCACGTCGACGTGAGCCGGCCGCCTCCCTCCCTCCACGTACAGCTCTATCACCTCGTTCACGTGGCCACAGCCGCGTCCACCGGCGACGCCCTCACGGCCGCTATAAAATGCGCGCCTGCTCGCTCCCAATTGACACAGCAACACAACGTCAACCAAGTGTCATCACCATCGATCTAGCCAGCAGCACCTTCTCTAGTTCTCTTCCTGCGCTAGCTCTTCTCTGCCTTGAGTAATGGCGACCATGGTGGCTTTGAGCTCCTTCGCCGTCGTTGGCCGGTCCGCCGCCCGTTCTCTAGTGGTGGCCCCGCGCCGGCGCGCCCTCGTCGTCAGGGCCCAGACCGAGGTGAGCTTTCACGTCTCGTGCTCAACTGTTTCGGATGCGCTGGCTGGCTAGTGTTACTTCAAGACTCGATCTCAATGTAAAATTGTTTGTGTATGTGCAGCCTGACTCAACCAAGGAGACAACGAGCGCATCGACCTCCTCCTCCTCCTCTCCGAGCACGAGCGCGACCCCGACCCCGATCCCGGCTGCACCCAAGCCCATGACCAAGAAGGCTAACCCCTCCGTGTGGGACGCGCTCGCCTTCAGCGGCCCAGCGCCGGAGCGCATCAACGGCCGGCTGGCCATGGTGGGATTCGTGGCGGCGCTCACCGTCGAGGCGGCGCGCGGTGGTGGGCTCCTCGACCAGGCCGGCAGCGGCGCTGGGCTTGGCTGGTTCCTGGTGACCGCGGGGGTGTTCTCCGTGGCGTCGCTGGTGCCGTTGCTGCAGGGCCAGAGCGTGGAGAGCAAGTCCAGCGGCTTCTGGAGCGCGGACGCTGAGCTCTGGAACGGCCGCTTCGCCATGCTTGGCCTCGTCGCGCTCGCCGCCACCGAGTTCATTACCGGCGCGCCCTTCGTCAACATCTAAGACGACGTAATGTTGCGCTGTGGATTCTTTTCTGCTGACAGATCGTAATAGTACTAACTGTTGTAGCCACGTTGCAATTTTGTATTACCATCGATGATTGAGTTCTGTAAATCTCATGTTAAGGTTGTTTTCATGGCTTCTTATCCTTGTTAGTATGAGTCCACGAATGTGGCGTCATCGCAACATCTTTTTTTTCTTGAAAAATTTCACCAAGGTCCTCTTGCGGTTAACTATAGGGCAGTGATCTGCGCCGGTGCACTGGCCGAACAATTCGGCCGGTCGGCGCGCGGATACTTCAGAAAGCGCGCGTATTCAGCCGAATACTGCCCCGATACTCGGATACTACCCGATATGTATCCTGTAAGTATATCTCGATTTTCTGATTTAAAAAAAAAGAAAATAATGTTTGATACTCCAACGATACTTCTGCGATACTTTTTGGATACCTGAAACCTCCCGTTTGACGTGAAATCCCCTCCCTCAATAGTAAAAGCACATCTTTTAAAGATACACAATATGGGTGTGAGTTCATGCCAAAACATAACTGCCAATATTTTTGTTCAATTGAAATGTGAGCAAGAGAGAGTCGATGCACTGATTGGAACAACAAACCCGCGAAAATCCAACTGCTAATTAATAAAAGTGGACCAAGTGCAAGAAAACAAAGGGAATAATTCTATTGAGGCATGCTTTGACCTAGAAGCTCTATTTTCTTTTCAATATTTTTAATAATTAATATATTTAATATCTACATATAAACGTATCGCCGTATCCATGTTTTCAGAAAATTGGCATATCGGGCGTATCCCCGTATCGCATATCCGATATGTATCCAAGTATCCGTGCAACATAGTCGATCGGCTGCCCACCGTCGGATCGCATTGCCCAGAGCCGTTAGATCACACCCTTCTATCGCCCCCTTCCTCACGCGCGTGAACGACAAAAATCCCCCGCAACGCTATTTGTGCTGGACACCCGCCATGGACCGCTTCGAGGCCTGACCTTGAAGCATCACCAGCTTACCGCCGGTCGCCGTCCTTGCCCCTGGTCGCCGTCCTCGTCGCCGGCTCGCTGCCCTCGCCCCCGGTAGCCGGTTGCCGTCCTCGTCGTCGGCTTGCCGCCCTCACCCCCGGTCGCCGGTCGCCGTCCTTGTCGCCTCCCGGTCGCCGTCCCCGCCCCCGATCGCTGGTCACCGCCCGGTCGCCGTCCTCGCCCCAAGTCGCCGTCCTCGTCGCCCCCGGTCTTCGATCTCCGTCCTCGTCGCCACCGGTCATTCGCCGGGCTCTCCCGGTTGAAGCTTTTTTGCCATTACCGCTTGAAGCTTTTTGTCCTGCCGGTTGAAGCTTTTTCCACCATTGAAGCTTTTTTACGCGGAGCAAGATTTTTCCTCATGCCACTCTAAAAACTTTTCCTCTAGCTGAATGAAGCTTTTCCACAAATGGTTGAAGCATTTTCTCCCTGGGTGGAAGCTAGACACTTGACTAGTTCCAGCAAATAAAAATGTAGCCAGTAGAAAATGTATACACCGGTTGTAGCATTTGTCCACCCTGGTTGCATCTTCTGCCGCGCCGGCGTTCGTAGCGGACAGTCGACAGGTTGCAGCAAAAAACGATGCCAGCTGTAGCAAAATACGATGCCGGATGTAGCAAAAACTGCTGGTCCAGCAAAAACGACTTCGATGGGAGCATTTTTGGGTGCTACTTCCAGCAAAACACTGCGTCGGTTGCAGCAACCGTGATTTGTGGTTGCAGCATCACCCCGTTCATTCCAAGTCCAACTTGCCGTGGTGACCCCAACAGCTCATCGGGGTGAATCCCGCAACTCGCCGCCGTTACCAGTTCCAGCAAAACCAGTACACGATTGCAGCTCCCTTCCCAGGATTGCAGCTCCCTTCCCAGCCGACGGTGGATGGGGTTGAGACCCGATGGTGGCGGCGCCCTCCGGCGACCAGCCGGCGAGGCGGCGGGGCCGGGCGACGAGGAGGTGGGGCGCGGGGCGACGGGGCTCGGGGGCGCTGCTCGTGGGCGCACGCGGACTGCGTGGGAACAATGCGGGGAGGGATGGATAAGATGCACATGCCCACATCAGGGGAGAAGTTGCTATATGTGCGTGTGTGTTGTGCGTGAGGAGGCAGGAGCCGACCGAAGTTTCGGCCGATGCGCCGGATCTAAACATTACCCTTAACTATATATTTGATGACGACCCACATTGTTTTTAACATAGTACAAACGCAAACATTCATACATGCGCGTATACAGTCATCCCCTGTATAAATGCACCCACACACCCTATCTCTGTGAGCACTTTTGAAAGACTGGGGCGACATATCATCATGAGATCGGGGAAGCCGCCACAAACATCTTTGTAGTTGACGAGAACATCTTCTTTCGCTGAACGCATATCACCAGAAAGCCTAAAATAAATTCCGAAAAATGCAAGCACCCTCGTATCTGTGGCTAGTATGTGCTACATGTTTACCTGCTAATCCACCAGATACTCATATGTCTACTTTAACTATGCTACTTAATTAAAAACTTATTCTGTGTCCTAAAGATTCTTAACTAGCTACCTGGACACACTGGTGGGCGTTTCACAAATGGTGGGCGTTTCACAAAATCCTTTAAATGCACCCTATCTCTATGATCCAACAAAAGGCAAGGGCCTGCAGTGATTAATTATGATTCAGTTCAGCTTCAGACTGTCAAACAAACAGTGCCAGATGGTAGCCGCAGGTGGATTGTGAAGGAAATATGCTCTAGAGGCAATAATAAAGTCGTTATTTATATTTCCTTATATCATGATAAATGTTTATTATTCATGCTAGAATTTTATTAACCGGAAACTTAGTACATGTGTGAATACATAGACAAACAGAGTGTCCCTAGTATGCCTCTACTTGACTAGCTCGTTAATCAAAGATGGTTAAGTTTCCTGACCATAGACATGTGTTGTCATTTGATGAACATGATCACATTATTAGAGAGTGATGTGGTGGACAAGACCCATCCATTAGCTTACATAATGATCGTTAAGTTTTATTGCTATTGCTTTCTTCATGACTTATCATATTCCTCTGACTATGAGATTATGCAACCCCCGAATACCGGAGGAACACCTTGTGTGCTATCAAACATCACAACGTAACTGAGTGATTATAAAGATGCTCTACAGGTGTCTCCGAAGGTGTTTGTTGTGTTGGCATAGATCGAGATTAGGATTTGTCACTCCGAGTATCGGAGAGGTATCTCTGGGCCCTCTCTGTAATGCACATCACTATAATCCTTGCAAGCAATGTGACTAATGAGTTAGTTACGGGATGATGCATTACAGAACGAGTAAAGAGACTTGCCGGTAATGAGATTGAACTAGGTATGATGATACCGACAATCGAATCTCGGGCAAGTAACATACCGATGACAAAGGGAATAACGTATGTTGTCATTGCGGTTTGACCGATAAAGATCTTCGTAGAATAGGTAGCAATCAATATGAGCATTCATGTTCCGCTATTGGTTATTGACTGGAGATGTGTCTCGGTCATGTCTACATAGTTCTCGAACCCGTAGGGTCCGCACGCTTAACGTTCGATGACGATTTGTATTATGAGTTATGTGTTTTGGTGACCGGAGTTTGTTCGGAGTCCCGGATGAGATCACAGACATGATGAGGAGTCTCGAAATGGTCGAGAGGTAAAGATTCATATATTGGAAGGTTATGTACGTGTTGGGGAACGTAGTAATTCAAAATTTTCCTACGATCACAGAAGATCTAACTAGGAGATGCATAGCAACGAGAGGGGAGAGTGTGTCCACGTACCCTCGTATACCAAAAGTGGAAGCATTTAGTAACACGGATGATGTAGTCGAACGTCTTCATGATCCAACCGATCCTAGCACCGAATGTACAGTACCTCTGTGTTCAGCACACGTTCAGCACGATGACGTCCCTCGAGCTCTAGATCCAGTTGAGGACGAGGAAGAGTTCCGTCAGCACGACGGTGTGGCGACGGTGATGATGAAGTTGCCGGTGCAGGGCTTCACCTAAGCACTACGACGATATGACCGAGGTGGTAAACTGTAGAGGGGGCACGACACATGGCTAAGAGATGTCTGTTGTGCCTTTGGGGTGCCCCCGCCTCCGTATATAAAGGGGAAGGAGGAGGTGGCTGGCCTAGGGGGCGCGCCATAAGGGGGGAGTCCAACTTAGACTCCTAGTCCAAGTAGGATTCGCCGCCCCCCACCTTCCTTCCACCGGAGAGGGAAAAGGGGAAGGGAGAGAGAGAGGGAGAAGGAAAGAGGGGGGCTGGCCCCCACTCCTAGTCCAATTTGGTTTGGGAAGGGGGGGGGGGCGCCCCTCTCATGTGGCCCTTCTCCTCTCCTCCAATAAGGCCCAATAAGCCCAATGCTTCTCCCGAGGGTTCCGGTAACCTCCCGGTACTCTGAAGAAATGTCTGAACCACTCGGAACCATTCTGATGTCGGAATGCAATCTTCCAATATATGAATCTTTACCTCTTGACCATTTCGAGACTCCTTGTCATGTCCGTGATCTCATCCGGAACTCCGAACAAACTTCGGTCATCAAATCACATAACTCATAATACAAATCGTCATCGAACATTAAGCGTGCGGACCCTACGGGTTCGAGAACTATGTAGACATGACCGAGACACGTCTCCGGACAATAACCAATAGTGGAACCTAGATGCTCATATTGGCTCCTACATATTCTACGAAGATCTTTATCGGTCAAACCGCATAACAACATACGTTGTTCCCTTTGTCATTGGTATGCTACTTGCCCGAGGTTCGATCGTTGGTATCCTCATACCTAGTTCAATATCGTTACCGGCAAGTCTCTTTACTCATTCCGTAATGCATCATCCCGTAACTAAATCATTAGTCACATTGCTTGCAAGGCTTATAGTGATGTGCATTACCGAGAGGGCCCAGAGATACCTCTCCGATACACGGAGTGACAAATCCTAATCTTGATCTATGC